TGGGTGATGGAGTCATGGTTTGATCGAAACCTGTTTGTGTATGTGGAGATGACACATACACAACTTTTGCCAAGACCTACCGCAAACCCCTCTTTTGTGTGACCACAGTGATGGTCTCCTGGTCTAAATTTGTGCAACCTGGCTCTTCTCTTTTTTTGCTAGACTTGGCTGCACTCTAACCAAGAGGTGGCAGCGACATTGACTGTGATATGCTAACAGACTCTGTGCTCCGTTTACAGTGTTGAGTTGGCTCCAGAGAAAACAGTTGTGGAACGTGTGAGAGCCAATGACCTCTCAAGCACTGCAGGTAACTCAGCATTTTGACTTTGGCCTAAAGATGGAGTCCATTAAGTGAAATCACTGAAATAGCAAGAGACTTTTTGAAAAGATTTTAATCTTTTATAAATGTGCAAATTAGAAGGGTTCTCATTTTACTCTGTCCTTAAATGACTTCTGTGAGCTCAGTGCTTCCAGCAATAAAACAGCACAGTCAGTAGACAGGGTCATCTGATGTACTACATCATTATCAAAAATTTGCCACCTTGCCACAGATGACGAACTGCTCATGGGTTTAACCGTGGTGCACTCTTTCCCTCTGCTTCAGCTCTGACTCCTCCAGCCACTCCTCCCCACCAGATGTGGAAACCCCTGGCCCCCGTGGCCCTGCTGGGGAAGAGCAAGGCCGCTGAGTCCTCAAAGTCGAGCCCCTCCAGGGTTATCCAGATAGAGGCCCGGCCTCTGCCCTCAGTCAGGGGCCGCAGCAAACCCACTCCTGCTGCTCCCGACGTCGCCCCCGAGGTGGCATGCATGGACCATGACTATTGCCTCCCCAACAAAGGCACTTCCAATGACGAGCAAGGCAAGCGCTGGAATGTCAAACAACCATCTTTTATCACTATTAAACCCATCAAGCAACCTGCTACAACCACTACGCAGACACCCCCATCTGCCCAGTCTACTACAAATGCTGCAGTTACAATCAAAGCAGAGGAGTTCCCTCTGGATCACAGGACTGATGGCACAGAGAGAAGCTCTGTTCTGGAGACTCCCGATGCTTCACCTGCTCGACAGGAGACTGATGCCACTGATAAAGAAGGAAGCCCCAGGAGAGGGCACTTTGAGAGGTCCTATCGTCGACATGCTGCTTACCGCTCACCCAGCCCCAGATCCAGTCCCAAAGAGAGGTCTGGAGGCCGGTCTAGAAAAAGGAGATCCCATCGTTCTCCCAGCCCTATGTCGAGTGGTTCAGAGTCAGACTCCCATTCCTCTAGATCTCGGTCTAGATCACGCTCTCCATCTAAGAAAAGGTGAGACTTGAGTTCTTGCTGCTTTTTGATTACCACTTTTGGGAGTTATGATTTCCCTTGTTCATCACTGGCACTCCTTCCTTTTCCTCTCTAGGTATCGCCACCATCACTCTGAGAGTAGCTCCAGCTCCTCATCCCGTTCCTCCTCACGTTCCTCTCCCTCGGTGTCCCGCTCCCCTCCCAGGAGGAGGAGGTATTCGTATTCCTCCTCTCGTTCTGGCTCTTGGAGTTGCTCCAGGTCACGGTCTAGATCCCCCCAGAGAAGAGCACAATGGAGTAGAAGCAGATTGCGCAGGTGCAGTATATGAATCATGCTCATCTGGGTGGTGGTCATTATATAGACGGGCCTATTATAGCTGTTTTAGTTGTGCATAACAAATACTTAACCAAAAGTATTTAAAAAAACACTAAAGGCTTCAATCTGTCTTTCTCAGTCCCTTAAGTGTGTCCCGCTATGGTCACGGTGCAAAGATGAATGCAGAAGAGGTGAAGAGACGCAAGGAGAAAGCCATTGTAAGTTGATTTTACTCTGAGTATGTGGGTCTCTAAGCAAAATATCGTGAATATAAATCATCTGATCAGCTTCTTCCTTCTTTCAGGAGGAACGCAGGGTTGTTTACGTTGGTCGAATCCGAGGAACGATGACCCAGAAAGAACTTAAAGAGCGCTTCTGTATATTTGGCGAGATTGAGGACTGCACCCTGCACTTTAGAGACCATGGGTAAGGACACAAACGGCTTTTGTAATGAGATTACTGTTGACATTTTAATGAGGTTTATGAGTATTTTGAGCAAACTGCACTGTCTTTGAACCTTCTTGGTCCCATATGTGACCTCTTAGGCCAAGCTACAGTGCTAAAGCAAAATCAGGCTTGTTCATAACTGGAGCCTCCTGGCAACACCTCCAGGTTGCTCTTTTAAAAGCAAGTCACAGCTCAAAACGATGTACAAGACCTGTTATGACCTTCACCTGACCTCTGGAAAACTTAAAATGAATACAAACTGATGGTTTTTCTTATCTGTCACAGGGACAACTATGGCTTTGTGACTTATTACGACACCAAGCATGCTTTCACGGCCATCGAGAATGGAGGCAAGCTGCGCAAGCCAGATGAGCTGCCATTTGATCTGTGTTTTGGTGGAAGGAGACAATTCTGCAAGACCAACTATGCTGACCTTGGTACGGATAAATCAGCGGACACAACAAAAAGTGCCTGTAGTCCTCACCCAGAGTGCTGTTGGTCTGTTCAAATAGTATTGATGTTGTTTGCAGAAGATTAGAGATATTGGCTGCATTTCATCCTGATACAGTGCACTCACCACAAGCTAAATGCAGCTGAGAGCCATTGTACTGTGTGAACTACAGCCAATAACTATTTGGAGGGATAATCACACTGCAGGAGGGAGACAAATTTTGAGCACACTGTCCTTTTAATGTGCTTTTTGCATGTTTAAATCATTAAAAGTCTATTTAGAATTAGAGTATTGAACACTGGACTAAAGGTATTTAAGTTTCACACAAAAGTCACCACAAAGTGTAATTCATGGCTTGTTAGCACAGTTGTAGGAACCACTGAAGAGATGCAGGCCACGTCCTCTGTATTGATTTTATGACTGTGGAGGTTTTATTGACCTGACCTGTTTTAATGACATATTACATGGCACACAAACTGCACACGATGGGTTTTTAAATGATGATCCTGAGGTTTGTTTTTAAGATGACAATGTAGGGAGATTAAAGGAATCTTTGAAGAGAGGCTTGTCAAAAAAAATGTGATGGATTTTGCACGTGGGATTTGGACCCGTGACTTGCTCATTTTTTAAAAGTCCATGCTACAACTGTGGAGGGTCGCATCAGTCTTTTGAAATTGTTCAACCCAGTGCAGTATGTTCTGTAACGCAATGCTGACCCCATCTGTCCTTCTCTTTTCAGATTCGAGTAGAGAGTACGATCCATTGCCTGGGAAAGGCAAGTTTCATGCACTAGACTTCGACACTTTATTGAAGCAGGCCAAGCAGAATCAGAAGAGGTAACAGGAGGCCCGCAGCAGGAAGCAGTCGACACTTACCTCAGAGCCAATGGTTGGCTCCTCACCTGCAACACTGTCTTTACATTTTAGTTGTTGCATTAGTTTCGTTTGTTTTATTTTGTTTCTGCAAGCTAACACCTTCTATTGAAGTGAAGATTTGTAATGAAAGTAGGAAAAGAAAAAAAATGGAATAAGTAAAATAATTTTTTAAAAAGTTTTATTTAAATGTATAATCAGATTTGAATTGTATGGAGAGAATCATTTTTAAAAGGGGGAAGGTACGGAAAGGTGGAATGGAGCTCCCTGATGTCTGGGAGAGGTTGTAATACATTGAAATGTAGTACAAGCCTAAATTAAAAGAAATATGAACCTGAAATGCATTGTTTTTTTTTATTCCACGAGTCTGCATTCCTTTTGTCACTGTTTAGTCACATCTTCCTTAAAATACAGAAATGAGACTTCATTTGTCAGAGGGATACACCATTTTCACTCAAGACATTGTGACATGTCCCAAGAAAAGTATGGGTGTAAATAATAAAATAAAAAATGGGTGAATTCAGGTTTGCTGCTTTGGTGTCGGGGTCCTTGTGTAGACACTTTTCACAACTTACTGACTGCAGAGAAAGGAAAGGTGAAACTAATTCTGTTAACAAATGCTGTTCGATTAAGTATCCAGTGAGCCAGCATGCAAATTACCAGACCCCTAAAACTATCTCACCTTAAAGGAATGCACTTGTTAATACCATTAATGAAACCTGTGTTTTCCTGTCATGACATGTCAAAATATCTGAAAAAGCTCTAATTTGCTCACCATCACGCTGTCATGGCTTACTGGGACACTCAACTAGAACAGATCCAGAACCATCTCTGGTGTTATTAGGAACATCTGTAATAGTCCTAATACGACAAATTAAAGATGTCTGCTGTGAAAAAGGCACACACAGAATAAAGGGCCTCTCACAGTGAGTGCACTGGCTTTCATTAACCAATGCACATTTAGTTTCCTTTGGGGAGTTACTCGCTGTTTTAGAAATTCTGGGTAATCATGCCAGAGTATAATTGGATATATGCTGGTGATTTAGAACAAAACGTGTGTGTTTTGCTGACGCAGGATACACAAGCTTAGCTCATAACAGATGAGCAGCACCTCCCCTTTCAATGTGGTGTTGGAGCTCAGCGGCATTCCTTATATGGACTGGAATCTCAAGATGGTAGAAAGCTGTAGAGATATTCAATGCAGGCAGTGAAAAGAGCGACTTGTGCTGCAAGTTTGGGGAATATGTGACAATTATTTACTCTGCTTCTTAAAAACTTAAAGGGATTAAAATTAAGGTTAGAATTTCTCCCAGAAATCATAAATAAATCAGGTCGAGTACTGTTTTTTGGTGGTATTGTACGCATAAATTATATTCAAGAGGTTTTGTACAACTGCAAATGTCATAACATGAATAAATAAATACACTTCTCGTTAGCGACAAATGCATGGTCACAAAAACAAGTAATATTTCTCTTTATAATGTTCGCTACCTGTAAATGTTTGGCGCTGCGGAGTACAAGTGTCATCTATCTCTTTGCCTCGGTGACATCTTTGCGGTGTTTTGTCACGCAGATCTAGTTCTAACTGGTTTAATCCAGTCCTGTGAGCATGCGCACTCGGTGTAAACAGGAAGAACCGACTGAAAACCAGGGCAAATCTACCATAAAGAGAAGAAAATGATCGGACAAAAACTAACTAACGGCTTGTTTTTCTTTGTATATTAACCAGCATTAATGTTATCCTTTACCAGCCGATGGTAATTTCGATTACATCTCGTAGAAGCAGTTGCTAATATTTCGTGAATTTTGTTAGACTCGTTAATACCGTACGCTAGCTAACGTTAGACAGACACTGACGCGATTTATTTCCTCCGGGTTTTGGTCGGCGAATTTGTCTGCTAAACAGACATTACCGGCGTTAAAAATAGCTCAGCCTTTTCTCAATTTGTCTGAATTTACTGACTTAACACCGTGGGAAATTTCTAACAATGGTTCAGAAAGATAAAACGCTGGAGACGCCTCAAGTGGACAGTGAGACGAGCCCCAGCCCAGTCTCCGGAGAGGCTTGTGCCGAGGCCCCTGGCCCGGCTGAAGAGTCCGGCATCGGAGCCGAACCGACCGGCCACAGAAAATTCATCAGTGGTGTCGTGGAAGGTAATATTGAATTTGAGCTTTAACAATCAAATTTGACATTTGATTCGGTTGTGATCTGCATGAAACCATAAATAGGGCATCACAATGCTGCAGCAATCGTGCTTCCTGGGGAAAGGTTGTTGTTGTTGTCAGTTGGAAAATATAAGGCAGTTGTAAATGGATAACAGCTGGAAATCAATTGCTGGGAATCGATTGGAAATGGTCTTAAACCCATCAAAATAATTATGTTTGCCGATTGCAGATCAACACTGTCACACGTCATATAGCTGAATAAATATGTATGGGGGGGTACTTATTAATTGGTGATCATCAATGATTCAAATAAATTGAAATAGGATTACCTTTGATCATCATTTATCAAGTAAGTATACCACACATTGGTGGGGTTGCATCTTAATAAGATGAAGAGTCATTTGTTGTGGTTAGCTCCCAATTATAAATTGAATATTATTTGTAGTTTGGCTTCTAATCAGACTGAATAAGAAAATTAAAGCACAGTATTGACTTCTCATAAATGAGCTTAAGAGGGCTTGTTTTATACTTCCTTGATAATTCGTAGACAAAAGGAATAATTGGTAAGTACAGGAAAAACTGTTAACGGTTAAGGAAGCAAACAATGTTTGTTTAATGGCACTTTTAGCCCAGCCCACACCTTAGGGCAAATTACTAGTTGCAGCAGACACACAGCTGAATATGCATGGAAAATGTTGTTTAAAATCAGCACTGCAGTGTGCATAGAAACTGAATGTTTTGTTTTCTGTTACAGGCTTTTATGGTCGACCATGGACAATGGAACAGAGGAAAGAGTTGTTCAGAAGGTATGATGCACTGTGTGAATTTTCTGAGCAGGCATGTCTATCAAATAAAAAATGTTATAACAGTTTGATGATTTGATTTGTCATACTGAGTTTGTATAACATGGTATTTCACAGGCAGCAGAAATGGGGGCTGAATACTTACCTTTATGCACCCAAAGATGACTACAAACACAGAATGTTCTGGAGAGAGCTGTACTCAGTGGAAGAAGCAGGTGACTATTCAGGACAGATCTTGTGATTAGCTGTCTTGGGGCAAGGAAAATGAGTAATGCCTGTTAATCTTAAGTTAAAGTTTTAAACATGGGTGAAATGGAAGAAATGGGTTCAAAGATGTAATCATAGCACAATAGTTCATTCACTGAGTGATTTACTCCTTTCATCTCCTAGAGCAACTCATGACTTTAATTGGTGCTGCTAAGGAGCATGGGATAGAGTTCATCTATGCCATTTCCCCTGGACTGGACATCACCTTTTCCAATCAGAAAGAGGTTTCTGCACTCAAGAGGAAACTCGATCAGGTATGACATTTTGTATGACAGAAGTATGAGCAGTGTCTTCAAACTTTTCGTATCCTCATAACTTCAAAAGTGTCACAAGTCTTACACTGCGTCATTTTGTAACAATTTTAATGGCTTCCATTTCAAATCCATTCCTTTTCCCCTCAGGTTTCTCACTTTGGCTGCAAGTCATTTGCCTTACTTTTTGATGATATTGACCACAACATGTGCCCTGCTGACAAAGAGGTGTTCAGCTCATTTGCACACGCTCAGGTTACCATTACCAACGAAATCTACCAGTACCTGGGAGAGCCCGAAACCTTCCTCTTCTGTCCCACTGGTACTTGAATTTTGTGTCTGAATCCTTGGCACATTTTACGCAATTGTTTCGTTTACTGATTTATTCATCTGTTTTCTTGCTTTGAAATGCAGAGTACTGTGGAACATTCTGCTACCCAAATGTTGCTCAGTCCCCCTACCTCCACACAGTAGGAGAGAAGCTACTGCCGGGCATTGAAGTGCTATGGACAGGTGAGTCTAACACATCATGTATGCCTAACATCTGGTGTTAGGCATACATGTCAGAATAGTAAATAAAACAGTTAATAATTGTGATGTGTGTAATTTTCTGCAGGCCCCAAGGTGGTGTCCAAAGATATCTCAGTGGAGTCAATTGAGGAGGTGTCAAAAATCCTAAGAAGAGCCCCTGTAATCTGGGACAACATTCACGCCAATGACTATGACCAGAAGAGGCTTTTCCTCGGTCCATACAAGGGCCGCTCCACAGAGCTCATCCCCAGGCTGAAGGGAGTCCTCACCAACCCTAACTGCGAGTTTGAGTCCAACTTTGTAGCAATCCACACTCTGGCCACCTGGTACAAGTCTAATATGAATGGGGTGCGCAAGGATGTGGTCATGAGTAAGTGTGATCCAAAGGTTACCTAATTTCTAATGTTTTGATGAGGTCTTTGTACGAGGTTATATTGTGTCAAGTGGTACCATAACATGAGTGGTTCATTAATGTTGTTTATTTCTGTTTGTTTTACCAGCGGATGGCGAGGACAGCACAGTGTCCATCCAAATCAAGTTAGAGAATGAAGGCAGTGATGAAGAACTGGAGACAGACATGCTCTACAGCCCACAGCTCGCTCTGAAACTGGCTCTCACAGAATGGCTCGGGGACTTTGTTGTGCCTCATCAATACAACAGTGAGAGCAGTCCCATTATCATATCATATCTCTATGCTAATGGATTTTCTAGCAGTAATACTCAGAATGCACTCGTAGCGTTGGCATGGAGAGCCTGAAAATGATAATTCTGTGACTGAAAAACACGCAGTAAGGCTTAACTGTGTCTTTCAGGCCGACAGGTGCCTCAGAGCGGTGCCAAAAGCACAGCCATCGACGTGTCTTCCATGGCTGCTCCCTCGCTCTGCTCTTCCACAACAGTCACAACTGTGTTCCAGCAGCCCATCATGTCTCCAGCCATGCCGCCTCTCTGTCTGGATCCACTCTCTCACCCCATGGCAAAAAGGCCTCAGGAGGAAGAGGAGGTGCAGTTTACTGTTACTATGGAACAAAATAGAAGCACTTAAATAACCGAAGTGACTATCTCATGTTTCTTTTAGATAATGAGCTCTCTTTGATGTGAACATATTGTCATTTATAAGGTTAAGGATGACTGATTCTTTCTGATCATATGCTTAGCCTCTGTTTTACTTTATTTTTTCAGCATTTTTTTACAAGTATGTTTATGCTGCTCCTGTGCAGGTGGAGGTGGAGAAGAAGGATTCAGATGAGGAGCCCATGGAGATGGTGGATGAGAAGCTGGATGAGCCAGAACCAGAAGCAGTAGCCGACACAGAGGAGAAGCAAGTTGGTCCTATCTTAGCCGACAAGATGGCTGAGGACCTGAAGCCCATGGATACAGACAAGGAGAGTCTCACAGAGTCAAAGTCCCCTGAAGAGTCTATCCAGGAGGATCCTGGTAGTGATATCGCTCCTATGCAGACAGACGATCAGCTCAAGCAGGTGCAGCAAACATTCGTGAGTTTCCTTTTATATCCGCAGCTGAAGGCAAAAAACAAATCAGAATTCCCTGCAAAGTCACATTGCTTCTGTTTCGTGTCCTCAGGATTTGTTTGTGCCCGGGCCCAACGAGAAGCCCCTGTTCACAGCAGAGCCCGTCACACTTGAGGACCTGTGCTTGCTGGCGGAGCTCTTCTACCTGCCTTACGAACATGGACCCAAGGCCATGCAGATGTTAAAGGAGTTCAACTGGCTGAGAGCCAACAGCAGCGTCGTCAGTGTCAACTGCAAGAGGAAGGAAACTGAGAAGGTGGGTTAATGCATTAAAATAAACACACACATGGTTGAGAGACAGAGGCCTAGCTGAGAAAACTAGTTCATTATTAACTGAACTTGCCTGTGATAGTATAGGTTGCTGAAAACAAAATGGTGGATGTGTATTACCATTACTGCCCATTGGGTGGTGTGATAGGAGATGGAGTGCACCATAGAGCATTGTGTCATGTGTATTAAACTACAGCTTCACCTTATTAAACCATGTGCCTCTTTATCAAAGACATTTTGACATATCACAGAAAAGCACAGGTATAAATAATAAAAGTAATGATGTGTGAAAATGTCCACTATGCCAAAAAGCCTATTATAAACCAAAGCAGTGTATTGCTGTCCTTCTTATTTATTTATTATGTCTTATTTCCAATCACTGTGTCGCATACAGGTGGCAGAATGGCAAGCAAGGGCGGAGAAGTTCGAGGAGATGTGCTGCTCCGTCATCCAGATGTTCACCCGGCTTTCCAACTCAGCTAACCGCACCATCCTGTACGACCTCTATCCGTACATCTGGGACATCAAGAGCATCATTTCTATGGTCAAGTCTTTTGTCCAGTGGCTCGGTACGTATGAAGAGACACATAAAGCGCTTACTCTTAGAGAGCATTACAGTAGCATAGCAGTAGTCTGATCAAGTCTGGTAATCCTGACTTTTGTTTTTCTCAGAAACACATTTGCACACAGATTTATAAAATCAGATAATATAAAGAAAAAGCAGTTTAAAAGTTAGCTGCATGGATTATGTCATACTCTAGAGCTGTATAGTTTGAGGCACATTTATAATTATGTCACACATCTTGCACAGTCTGCTTAACAGATGGTAATATGACTAATCAAAGATATAGATAAGTATGGCTCTTAGAGATCTTAGACACCACCTGTAGACAGGCTAAGAATCTGAGTAGTGGCTAATACCCCCACTTTTAATTAATGGCAGTTTATCATACATAAGTTTAGCACTGATCAGGCTAGTCGCATCACCTCTCAGTAGTTACGATCTTATTAATTTCTCTTGTTTCACACATGTTGATGATTGTCTTCTCTTTTTTTTTTTTCTCGTCTGACTGAATGCCGCTTGCACCGCTAGCATCCTCCTTATTTATCCCATAACAAGCTGCCCCATCTCAGTGATATCTAAACTGGGTCTCTGTGGCAAACGTCCCAGCAGGGTTATTGCTGCTTGCTGTGTATCCAGTAACATCACTGCTGCATTCCCACACAGACACACTTGCTTCCATCTCTCTTGTCTGTGGGGATGGGAGCCAGGGGGAAGTCCCCATCCCCCTCCCCTCCTCCATGCCCTAGCGCGCACGCGAGCTTGGAGAGCAAGTTGACTGACTGACTGTGGAAGGCCATTCTGGTGCATAAAATGAGTCAGAAATATCTGAACTGGTCTCTGTATTTTCAGCTGGTTTTTAACATGAACCATGTGAAAATATGACGGGAACTTCTGAGTTGTTGCCTCACTGGGTAGTCTCAGTGGATTTGAACCCTCTGAGTTGTTTGCTCAATCTGCATCACTGTGGGATCCATCACCTTTTGTAAAAGAGGATATTCTTTCTCTCCCTCTTTCTCCCTCTACCCTCGTCCTTTCTTTCGCTCTTTCAGATGATTCACTGTGATGCAGTTTGAGTGACATTCGTCCATGTAATAACATCTCCATCTTTTTTGGAGTGTACTTTTGAATAGTCTGAAGCACCAGCATGGCCTGTAGGTTACCCCCTGTAACCCAGTTTCATTCACAGGTTTCTGTCCTACATGGTAAAGCTGAGGACTCTAGCCCACAGTACACAGCAGGCAGCATACCCACACTGGCAAAGTCACATCAAAAATCCACACTACTGACTTAATGCATCAGTAAATGATTAAAATCCCTCTAGCATCATAGAGGAAATCAAGTGCTCTGTGAAAATAGTTATCTTTGAATATTCCTCTTAATAACTGCAGTGTCATTAAGTGCCTAACTGTTGACTTCTGCTGTTATCAGGTTTTTACATCAGTCCCCAATCTTTCCCTTTAGTAGAAGCTGTGCAGCCGGCACTTAGTCGCAACCTCCCTGGTAATTGAACTGAGAACACTTACTAATAACTATTTTCTACTGTTTTCTCCCTTCACTATGTACAGATGGAAGAATCCACAGTACAAGTTTCTACTGCTATTGGATCGACAGTGGCCGATGTATGCACAGTGCAAGCGCCTTTTTTGTTTTGTTAATGTTTGAAAGGGATTTATGGATTTTTTTTTCTTAAACTAGATTTATATATGTTAAAAGATTGATTTGGAGGAAAGGAAGCAGCCCTCCGGATGAAGTCACATTTTGCGCAGCGATTTAGCTTTGAATCCTAAGTGTTAACTCCCAAATTTCTCTCTTTGGCAGCATCTCTCTAACTTGTTTTTTTTGTTTCTGTTAGTAGGCCTATAGAACTGGCTCAGGCCAGCCCGATGCACCTACTCAAGGAAATTTACACTTGGCTTTGAAACTTAACCGTGGCAGGATCTTCATTGCACTCAGGGATATTACTGATTGTGTAGTTATGATAACTGCTATAACTGCTCACACACACATTGGCTTGACTATGGAAGATCAAAAGTTGCATGTGTTCTGCCTAACTGTGATTGTGTTAAGACAATGCAGTCTGAACAGGTAATTGAGGTGGAAGTCATCCACCAAGAGACCATTCTGTTGTCTGTTTTGTGGCTTTTAATTTGGGCAAGCAAGTTCAGAGTTCCTTCCCGTGGGTGCATCTGCGTGCTGTGCTGCGTCAGTTCAACAGAGGAATTGTATAAAAGTGTCAGGGTAAGGTTCATATGTAAAGCAGTGTTAGATGTCCTTCCCGCGCGCTGCATTTGTCTGGTCACATGACAGGGCTTATTGTCAACCAGGGTTAGACTTTGTTAGCGGGAATGCTACAGTATACACACTTGTAAGAGTGTGCTTTAGATACACGCGACTTGTCCCTACGGCGCATTTCATCTTTGGTCTGTTTGATTGTGGCTTTTACTAGTAAGCTGAAAGGTCCTTTAACTCAGGGAACATTCACACCAGCTCTCGCTCTGACTTCCTGGTTTGATGACTCATGCTCCCCAGTCATGTGACGAGGCAGATAAGATGAGAATGTGACTTCACACGGGGTGCTGAGATGAGTGGGGTGACGGCAGCTGAAGCTTACTGTTGTAGTCCATAGACAGCATGGGGTTTCCGTTCTGATGGTCAGTGTAATATTTATGATGTCTGTCAGTTTTCAAGCGAGTACCCTCACTGAAACACCAAGGGGGCTGAACTGCACTTAATTCTGATCTCTCATCACTTTATGGAGAGCGTGCATTCCTCACTGCGTGAATTAACTTTTATCTAAAGCTCTGCATACCATGTTACATGGAGCAGTGTGGCATTGTTGTACTGACACAGAAATTTGGACCTGATTTCTTCTTGCAAATACGTAAGCTTTAGTTGCTCGAGCCCCATTTTATCATAAAGTATTTCCTCTGAATATAGTTCATTCCAAATTAGGTCCTTTTATGTTTTAATGAGTAAATTAAGATTAATTTATTTATATGGATAATGCTATTAGATACATATGACCCCCTTCCTCCCCATCTCCCCACTACCTTCATCTGTGTCAGAGAGCCCCATCCTGTGGTAACAATGTCCGCTTGGCTCTGCTCCTAACAGGGTGTCGTAGTCAGTCCTCAGCACAGTTCCTTAGAGGAGACCAAGAACCCTGGGCCTTTAGGGGAGGTCTAGCAGGAGAGTTCCAGGTATCTCATGCACCGAATTTACAGCAATCTAATGGAAAAAAAGAGTGTTGTGAGCAAAGACCACAATGGTAATATGTGCGTAGGTATGAAGGGCTTTGGTCTGTCAAAGGTGTGCTGATTGTAATGGGTCGGACTTCATAACATCCAGGTTACATAGTCTCCAAAGAAGTCCATGTCCTTGTATTGATTTTGGGATACTGTCAGGCAGCGGGAGGAGTATGGGTGACCTGTAACCCATCCTGACAAAAACAGGTTACAGCCAGTGTTTGGCATGGCATTTTCCAAATGATTAATTTGAATTTCTTTCAGCAACTGCCCAAGGAGATGCTGCTTTTCCCTAGCGCATGCGGCGCAAGCGAGCATGGCTAGGTTTTTATTTTCATGACATCTCATTTCTTTGCAGGAAAGCACAGCGCACAAATTACCAAGCCAACCCTTTGCAAGCGCACGCACAAGCATCGCAGCGCCAGCGAGAACGCAAGCATGTTGCAATGGGAAAACTCCATGATCAAACACACTTACCCAGTCTCAAGTAGTATCTCCATTCTTGGAGAGTTGCAAGCCTTATGATGGCAACTAATATGCCTTTGAATTACTAAGTTAACTCATTTAATTTGCCTCATTGGTTTTTTTCCTGGAGTTCTCCCTGCCTCTCTGCGCCAGCATCATTATTTTTCTCAACAGGAGGGTCCTGCGCAGCGAAATATTGCGATGTCTTACAAAAGGGAAAGGAGCATCTCCTTCAGCCAGTAAAACCTTAGTCAGACCAAAACACCACCCTTGTTTTATTATATTTGAAAAGCAAATATGTACGTGCTTGTTGTGCTATGTTCCTTTAGCAAAATGACAAAGTTGTGATGTTTGCTCTTGTTGTCCACTGTCAGATCAACAAGGAATATCAGTTTATACCTTTATATGGTTTTATTTAACAATATTTGTCATTCCGAAGCACTTTGCTCTCCGCTGTAGTTCCTTTTGGTTTGATAGTGGCTCAACTGCAGCAAATGCTCAGAGAGGCAGTGAGCCAAAGCAGCACACCACCTGGTCTCAGTGAAACTGAACCTGTTTCTTTTGATACCCACAGAGATTGTTGCCAATAGATGGGGCAAACGATCTTTTCTACCAGCCTCCACCTTCATTGCCAACCTCCAAAATCTATTCCATAAGGCCGTACTATCCCAAAGATGAGGTAAGATGTTTGTGTGTTAAGTCATGGCCTTGTGCACCTTATTTTTGTACCAAAACTCAAGTATTGCATCCTAAATACTGACAGTTAGTAAGCATAAATAATGTCAGAACCAAAATGTTGCAGAATGATGTTAGCCAGTTGCTATTCCCAGCAGAACTGGCCTAGTTAAAGCTGTGAATGCTTTGCACTTAATGTGCCACAATGCTGTGCTCACACACTCTTCGCATCAGCAAACATATGTAACATTGACATTGTTTGTGGCATTGTCTGGGCTTAGCTTTGGCTTTTATATCTAGTGTCATGATTGATCGCGCTACAGCTGCACCTGTCTTCTCTTTTGCAGACTGCAATTTATAAAATCTGTAAAGAAATGTACTCCGAAGGAATGGAGGGCGTACCAGTCTCTGATGATGATCCTGACCTCATAGGAGACAGGTAAAACATGGAGATGACTAAAGCCTGACCTGCAGTGTTCCCCTGCAGCGCAAATCAACATGACTGACAAAATGTTTCCTGTTTGTTCACAGGTTGGTAGGAGGTCTCCTGACACTGAGTTCAGACTATGGGTTCGTGCTGGAGGACGAAGAAGGGATCTGCGGTTACGCTCTTGGAACTGTGGACGTCAAGCCCTTTGTCAAGAAATGCAAGTTGAACTGGATTCCCTTCATGCAAGAGAAATACCTCAAACCTGACTGTGAGAAGGACCTCACAGAGGCTGAAGTATGATCTTAATCCATCTCTCTTACTATCATGACATCTGTATCAGCTGGCACATGATTGTGTCTCCTGTTGTTATATTTTACTTTACCGTCTCTGTCTGTCGTCCCCGTAGAAGATGATGCTGAGTTTCCACGAAGAGGAGGAGGGTCTTCCCGACTCTTTCCTCTCCAACTTCCCCTCTCTCATCAAGGTTGATATTCACGCAAAGGTCACTGACCCCAGTGTGGCCAAAAGCATGATGGGATGCCTTCTATCTTCTCTTAAGGCCAACGGTAGGTGGCAGCCATCTTCAGCTCTGACAGCAGTGTTCATTGCTACTACTTATAGTGTTAAGGCTATTAGCTGTGTTGGTAAGATGGAGTCTACTTCTGATTCTACAAATCTTTAAACCTGCCACCAAATGTAATACTGTCTTTTTACTTGTTTCTTCCAGGCTCCCTGGGTGCGTTCTGTAAGGTTCGTCAGACTGATAAGAGAATGTTGGACTTCTATAGTAAGCTGGGATGCTTCGAAGTGGCCAAAATGGAGGGCTTTCCCAAAGATGTCATCATTATGGGACGCAGCCTATGAAGAAACGTCCTGCTCCGATAACAGACAGAGAGAGAGCAAGTCAACGTGTGGCATAAACAAGTTTGCTACCTTAATGAGGAAAAAAAAAACTTCCATGATGATTTTATACTACATTACCATCTGGGCTATCCCCGGGAAACCTCTTTTTAGGATTTGTGTACAGAAGCACAGCAGTCGCACACACAGATTTCCTGCGCTGCCCTTAGATGTTATGGCTCTGTCGGATTCAGCAGATTGGAAGCTAAAAGGCCGAAGAGCAATCTGTAATCAGTTGATATGAGCCAACATGGAAGAGTGGCACTCCCGCAATGATTTGTGGGGTCCCACTACCCATATACCTCCAAGAGGCAGGAAGTAATAACTCCATAAGCCTTTTTTCTGATTTAATCCAGTAGCCATTACATGGATATTGCCCGCATGCCCTGACGCAAAGTGTCTGTATCTGAAATGGAGGCAGATTGTGAAATTAGGGCAGCCTGTATCTCAGCTAGTGTCTTACTACCCCTACATCCTGCTTTCCCAGCTTTGAAAGAGAAACAACGCAGCTGTCGACATAAGTAGGACACCTTTATACAGGATGCGAGGTGCTATGTGAGAGTTTGCCTTTCATCGTCACTTCATGGTATTTTCAGTTGCACCACAGTAGACTTGGAAAAGGAGGCCTTTCAAGCGGCGTGCTTCTATCAAAAAGTGATGTGAGATGTTGAGTCTGCACACATGAAGGGTGTAAAAGTAGCTTTTGGGGCTCGTCAATAAGACCAGCCAGGGAATAATATTCGTTGAGATTGTTAAAAACTCAACAAGGAGGTTCCCCTGAATTTCCATTCAAGTAGTAATAGACATTTGGAGAGCAATATAAAAGCTTCCACAAGTTTACAAACATGGTTCACAGCTTGTTCCTGTTCAGCGCTCTGCTTGTGGCCATTTTTCTTTTTTTTTCATAATTCAGCTGTTTTTTGTTTTTTTGCTTATTTCCCTTTGAGCTATTGCCTTTTGGTTCATTGCCTTTGGATTTAGACTCCAGTGTCTTCTGCGTAAAGGCTGTCTAACCTGTATTAGTCAGATACAGCAGGAACATGGTGATTTCAAGACATTGGATTTGTTGTTGCTCGATTTTCAGAGATGTATCCTGACATTGAAAGTCACGTCTTAATTTTGCCCTACCAGACCCCCATGCATTATACTTCAGACAGGGGTATCACTGTCAGAGGAAGTTCCAACTCTCGTGTTAAGTTATGTCAAATTAATTTAAGTAGTTACTTAATGCACTCAAATCAACATTTTCTGATAGCAGTACCCAGTGGGACCAAATCTTGATATTCTGATCTGCTATTGAGTAGAAAAATGTAACATTTGACTGGCATCGACGTCGGAGTTAAACTAAAACTTGGAAGCATTAACCCTCCCACTGTCATAAAGCTGCTCAGTTTTCTCTTAACCACTAATTCCAAACCTGACTTGTGAAGCACCAGCTGATCTGGGCTCTGTTCAGGAGGTGAGCTGTGCTAAAAAGCTAGCTTGTGCTCATCACTGGTAAAAGAAAATAATCAGTTTACATCTGACAGCTTGCATCCCTCCCTGCGTCGCATACTCTCAAGTGAATGTCTTCTCAGTCGAGCCTTGGTGAGCGCTCCTCCGTCACCAAAGCGGTGCTGACTCCCACGCTGTTAGGCTGTAGCCGTGGGGGGATGGAGCAGAAATTCCTCGGGCCTTTTCCTATCTGTCCATTGAATGTTTTATATTCTGCCGCATTTCCCATTTGTTTTTGTAAATCTGTGTAGTTGATAAAAATAAAAGCACTTGGTCTAATAGATAGGAGTGTTCTGTTGGTTACACGAGGATCATCAGTTGCTCTTCAGTAGCTGCCTGCAAATGTGATGTTTTGATACTGTGTACATTCATAATGTGCATGAGGTGTATTGGATTTGCTGTGGCGGTCATTAGAGTAACCTCATCTTATGCTACATAGAGGAAGAAGCATGCCACTCGCCTCTATGGGCATGATACTGTAGTTCGTAGACAGTCTGTAAACACTGTCGATCATAAAGTGTTATTATTTTGTATATCTTTATTGAAACTGTGGCTAGCTTCCCGTTGTCCTTTAAGGAATACAAAGTGCTGGCCTTGTCACAACGCCCTGTCCTGTTTCAGCAACAGGTCTGCTGTTTGTCTTCTGAACAACGACAGCAGAGCTTTCACTCATTTTAAATGGCTCCTTTTGCAGTTGGTCGACGCTCCAGCTTTCTCTTCTGCCAACAGGTTTTGATAGAAACGGGCCGTGACTGAGGGAAAGGGCTCCTATTGTGCATTTTGATTATATGAGAATAGGGTTGGGAGGGCAGGGGGTCATAAAAGTAACAGTTTACCAGTGTAAAATTTGTATGTGAGATACATAAGATTCAAAACTAATAAATCATAATAAGTTCCTTTGATGCTTTGTGTCCTTTTTTTGTTGCACAGATCATATTTGTGAGTTTGTCTTAACTGAAACTTGCAGGTCTTTCATCCCTGTCCTGAGACAAGTGTTCCTGTTGTGACAAATAAAAGGAAGATTATGTCAGTACTCAAACAGGTTTGGCACTGTTAGCATAACTGATAGTGTTGTGGTCATGAACGTTTACAAGCTTTGATTTGTAGTGTTGCATTATGCCTGAAACAAGCCCTTGACACATGGGAAATGGCATTATACACTCATATCAGTTATGTATTTTGTGTGGGAAGTGTGTGAGCTAAAGACGTGTTTATAAATGTAGAAAAGCAATTGTTAATGATGTATAATTTCAGACTTTTTGCGTGTTAAAATACATGTTTTGGTTCCTTCGGCAGCTACGCATTTAAAAAAAAATGGACGTAGCAGTTTTTCTATTTTTTATTAGTATATTTATTTAGTTTAAATGACCTTTGTTATTTGTTTATTTACATGCTATATATAAATGTTAAAAAAAATAAATTATTTAATTTATAACATCTCTGAAAAAAGAAAAAAACACATCACCCGGGAAAAGGCGCACACTGATGACATCACCTGCATGCTGTACAGTTTGCGACGCGCTTGTTGTTTTTCGAGGAGGGCTAATTTCTCTATAAAGTCTTAACAGCAAACCCAACTTCACAGCTTTGACGAGATGTCTTATCACGACGAGGAGAGCTCGGACATCGGACCGGTCGGTCAATCCAAGTTGGAGAGCTTCCTGTTCAGTAAGAACCATTGAAACACAGTTTATCAGTTCACCTCAGGTGGCGCACACGTGGGTCTCCTCTGTGGTGTGTCGACAGTGAAGAAGCTGCTTTGATGTTTAGTGCACAAATTTACATGCAATAAAAAAAACTGCCATTAAAATCCTGCTGGTTTTGATGTGTCTTCCAGGCTGCGAGCTGTCCTCTAAAGTACCTTTCTACACTTTCCAAGGAGACGAAGAGGAGGACCTGGAGCACTTCCTTGAACTTAGAACAGTATGTACAGTTGCAGCAGAGTTTGTATAATCCCATTCACTGGGTGCACCACTTCAACGCAGGACTCACATCAAAGTGTGTATTTAAATATCTGAGGCTGTTGCACCATAGTGATATGTAAAATCAGGTAATACAGGTTTGAAAAATGTCAACTGACTGAATTCTTATGATTCCTGCAGGTGTGTCTGGGAGAAGGCTGCAAAGAGGAGAGCAATGTGGTGGAGGTAACCGCCATGAACCACCAAGGAAAGACTATTTCAGTGCCCATCGCCAACCTTCACACCAGCTGTCTGCCCATGGTACAGTACAGTGACTTCTCTCTATGTGCACATGGTAGAGACGTGTCTCAACCGTTACCTTCTTTATCTCAGGTGAGTCTCGGAGAGTTTGAGTTGAAGGCGCCAGTGACCATCCGGCTGAAGGCTGGGACAGGACCAGTCACTGTCAGCGGGTTACACCTCATAGGTAAGCCCCTCAGTACAACTAATGGCCCACTGAGAATATATCTGCTGTATGTGCTCTGTAAGGTTTTATCAGAATATAGTTAATGTTGTTCTCTACGACATTCAGCATTTTTATCAGACCAATAACTCACATTCTTTAAAAAATAAAAACAGTAACATGGGTACACTGCTTTAGAGCTGAAACAATGAGGCCTAGTCCACACGAGACCAGGTATTTTTAAAACTGAACTTTTTTGGCCTCCAGTTTTTAAAAAATCTGCGTCCATACGAGCGGTGTAATAAAAATACCTCCGGCCACACGACACCACAAATTCCACTATCAAGCAATGTAATACACATGCCAAAGCAGTAGGTGGCGATATAACTCCTAACTGTAAGGCCATTGTAGCCAATCAGAAGGCAGTAAAACGTCGTTACCGGAAAAACAACTATTATATTACTATTATGCAGCAGGAGCAGTCTCCGTAATAGCACACTCTTGCGCCTCTCTTGCCGGATGTGGTTGAGTAGCGTTAGTTGTATGATACAGCCACAAAGTGCTGATATGCTGCTAAATAGCAGCAGTATTTTGTTTAGGTCCATCCTCAAATCGTCTCTCTCACACACTGGATCGGGTAATAACACAGCTGTTTTCTGTTTACGTCGCATATTGTGACGTCATACAATGGAGACGAGACAAAATAACTGCGGTTATCCTGTCCACACATGACTGCTGACACCGGACTTTTCCAGAAAGATCACCCTGGACTCCGGTGACAAATAACTCCAGTTACAGGGGCCCAAAACTGCGGTTACGTGTGGATGAAAGGCCAAACCGTGAGCAAAGAGTCACGGTTTTATAAATATCCATGTTGGTGTGGACAGCCCCTGAGTTAGTTTATGCCCTCATGACCAGTTTATGCTGTTTTATTGAAGTCTAGATTTCTAATGCATTGTATTTATGATACTATATAATATATAATTTCTACAATGTGATTTTAAAAAACAGTTGAATCCCCTTTAAATTTGGAAGATTGAGTTCCATTAAAACCACTTTTTTTCTCTCCCTTGAAATAAAAGTTAATGAAGTTGATTCAATTCTCAGTTCTGTTCCCCATGACGTTAAAGTGGTGCACGTTCATGCAAGCACAAGCATGCCTATACACAAGCCAGGGAAACAGAGAGCCTGTGATTCCCATGGCATTTTTTCATTGCTCTGATTTGTGCATGTACGTGCATACATGATTCTCATAGCATTTTTTCATTTCCACTGATTCAGATGTCTTTCAATATAACAGATCAAAGAGAAGTTCAGTCCCCTCCGCGTAAAATCAGATATCAACATGAACTCATGCCCCGTCGACCAACATCAACATAATCGGCTCTCCCACAACAATTTCAGCACGGCGAATTGCGAAGTGCAAAAAAATCAAAATAATGCCGCATAGAACATGAGCTTGTGTATGCAGGTGCAGCCGCTCTAAACTGAAATATGGCCAGCTCCAGGAATGTTAATTTCTTAACTGTGAGAGCAATCATGTAGGCACATCAGTTTTACTTTCGTATTTCCCGATCCCGTTCGGCAGCTCCTCCTTCGGCCTCTTCCAGGAACCAACCCGGCTCGGCAGCTCTAGGCCCTGATGCCTCCGCCGCCGAACCCAAGCCCCTCGAACCGAGGCAGGCCCACTCCGTGACTCCAGCCGGTGGCTCCCGCAATTCAAGCCCGGACTGTTTAGCCTCCTATACCCCAGATGAGGTTTCTGATTCAGTCTGCTCATCTGATGGGGAGTGGGTACCACCGCCAAAAAAAGACAGCTCTGAGGACGAATATTCCAGCTTTCCTGGAGATTATAAAATGGAGGATGAGGATGATAACCTGATGGAAATTGAGAGGACAGAATGGGTCTCCAAGAACAAGAGCATCAAGTGGTCACCCTCTGCTGAGCAAATGTATCGTTATGTGCAGGCTCCCACAAAACCTGTCCCAGGGCTGACAAAGTATGCCAAGAGAAACATAACGGACCAGCTGAAATCCTGCTTGGATTTATTTCTGACGAATGACATGATCCAGCTGATCCTCAAAATGACCAACCTGGAAGGCAAGCGGACTGAAAATCATTGGAAAGACATCACTGAGACGGAGCTGAGGGGTTTCCTGGGCCTGCTGCTGCTGGCGGGGATGTATCGTTCCCGGGGAGAAAGCACCCACAGCTTGTGGGAGGAGCTGATAGGCCGCCCGGTGTTTCGTGGTACAATGTCCCGCAAAAAATTTGAGCTAATTGCCACAAAACTCCGGTTTGATGATAAACTGACCCGGCGAAAGCGGCTCAGTGACAACAAGCAAGGAGGAGACATCAAGAGAGGTCGGCCAGGGGAAGAGAGTGGTGCTGCAGATGACACAGGGGCTGGAGGGACGCACTGTCACCATTGATAATTTTTTCACCAGCTACGAGCTTGGCACGGAGCTCCTGAAAAGAAAAATGGCCATGGTCGGCACAGTGCGCAAAGGGAAACCTGAGCTCCCTCCCCAACTTGTCAACGTGTCGGGCAGAGAAGTGCTCTCCAGCATCTTTGCTCACACAGCGACCCACACTGTGGTGTCGTACGTACCCAAGAAAGGCAAAAACGTGGTGCTGATGTCTACAAAGCACAGAGAAGCCTCCATCAGCGAGGAGGTCCACAAGAAGCCAATGATCATTCTCGATTACAACAAGTCCAAGGGTGGCGTGGACAACTTGGACAAGGTATGTGCCTGAAATATATGTAGGGCTTTTATTATTCAGTACTTAGCGCAGTTACGTCAAGGCGTTACTTAAAGAATGAATTTGGTTGTGATGAGCAACAATTTTTCCGCTTGTCCCCCCCTCAGTGTGTGGGCACTTACAGCTGCCGTCGGAAGAGCTCCAGATGGCCCCTGACGCTGTTTTACAACATGCTGGATGTTTCTACTTACAACTCATACGTCCTGTGGACCTGCCTGCACCCAAACTGGGAAATCAAAAAGAAATACCGCCGCCGCATCTTCCTGGAGCTGCTAGGGAAGGAGCTGGTGATCCCTTGCATCCTCCAGCGTGAGCGGATTCCCCGCGGGCCGAGTGCCGCTGCTTTCGTTCAAGCAGCCCAGGCAGCCATGGTGGAGGGGAAGGAAGCGCACAGCGAGGATGCCAAGGAGGCCAGAACCTCTGCAGAGGCACCTCCTCTGTCTCCAGGAGCAAAGTCGACAACACGACGACCTTGTGAATTGTGCCCAGAGAGCATGAAGAAGAGCAGGGTGCGCAACGTCTGTGCCAAGTGTGGCAAGTTCCTGTGCAAGGACCACACATGGAAAGGCTGTGGGACGTGCCTTGCAGGAGGACAGTGACTGATAGAGGACAGTTTGTCCTAAGTGTACATAGCTAGTTCTTTAGAAAAACATTTAAATAAAAAGAATAAAAAAAACCTGGAGGAATTGATCAAAAATTTATATTTTACCAGGGGGAGCGTAGCATGACATATTGTGATCATGAGAGGAAATGAAAGGGCTTTTTAAAAATCTAACATCGCACCAAAAAAAACAAAAAACAAATCAGTGTTGTGGGTTATGATTGACCCTCGCCAGACTGAGATAGTAACAGTAAAATAGTCTCATTACCTGTTAGTATGTTGAAAATGTTTCACTAGTTATACATATTTTTTTCCCGACAAATGCAAATAGTGGTATATGATACAAACTGACATGTAAAGGTTTAACATTTGGTTAAATAATGATTTAAATTAATTAAACAGTTTAATAACAAAACAAACATAATAACGAATAAAAACAAACCTGGAGGAACAGATAAAAAAAAAATAAAGAAAAGTGAATATTAAATATTTAGGATGTTTTTTCTTAGCAGTGCTCAAAGGTTGAATTAGCTCATCAACAAAAATTTAAAATCATTAAATAAAAAGTTATTTTTAAGCAAAAATATCAGTCTCTGGTTTCAGTATTTAAATGCGAGTTAGTAGTTGTTTTTTTTCTTAGGTTAAGTTATTTTTCTCAATTTAGACCTTTTTGAAATCATTTGGTGGCTGTGGCTCAGAGGTAGAGCGGGTCATCCACTCATTGGAAGATGAGTGTTCGATCCCCTGCTTCTCCAGTCTGCATGCCTAAGTATCCTTGAGCAAGATACTGAACCCCACGTTGCTCCCGACGGCTGTTCCATCAGTTTGTGTGTTAAAGCTGGTGGCACCTTGTACGGTAGCCTCGGCCACCAGTGTGTGAATGGGTGAATGTGACTCATAGTTCGTAAGACTAGAAAGTGCTAGTCCATTACCATTTACCAATCAGTTAAACAAAATAAAATAGTGGGCAGCTGTTGATCATTGACGCTGCTGTGTATGTCGAAAATGTAATCCAATCCAAACCCTGCATAATGTTGTAATAGTTGGGCAACAATTGGATAACATTCTTATGATTCTGAAATACTCAGTTACTTTATTCAGTTTCTCTATAATTTAATCTCACCTAGAAAAAGTGAAATGCATCTTTGGACCATCAAATGTCAGATTTCTTTGTTGTTAAGATCCAAGACCTTTGACGCTTTTTATCCGATTTCTGGTAAGTGTTTTATGTGTACATTGTAAGTTATTTAAAAATCTGCCATGCACATTTATCAATACTTTTATAATTAGACACCTTTTGCTCTCATCACTGGTTGTAATGAGGGTGTGCAGCTGCATATCACTAACTATGCACGAGGTCAATTATAAAGGCAGTTTAAATAAACTGATGTTCTGACCTTTATAATTAAATATAATACCAGGATTCATTTAATTCAAATGTTTTAACTTGGTCGTCTGTGTTTTTGCAGCCTCACAGGTCGAAGAGTCGGACATGTCTGATGAGGATTTCGACGATGATGATGATGATGAGGAAGAGGAGGAAGACATCACCCCCATTAAACCAGCGAAGAAGAAGCAGAAGCAGTAGGCGGAGAGGTCACTGATTGGTTTTTGGATAGGCTCCACTCACTCACTGATTGGTTTTTAGGAAATACGTTTTTTTGTACCGGACTGACGCATATTACAGAGTCACCACTTCTTCCACACAGCCAGGTGAATGCTTAGTGTGGCAGCTGTTAGGTAAAAGCGCTGTGGGAGGAAGTGACATCATGACGGACTCCGACATTCACTTAGAGAAGAACTGTTTTTCCTGATAAATGCTACCCAGTGTTTTATACTGTATATGATACAGTCACCACTGACAAGGATTTATTGCACCAGTGGATTCTTGTACTGTTTATAGATACTGCTCTTGTAAAAGTAAACTCCTTTGTGTATGTGTGTTTGAGTGTGTGTATGTACTTGTCAGACAAAACAAGTTTCCAGATTAATCATAATTCCAGCTGAATGGTGCAATTACACGACTCACGTACAGTTTACTTCATGTTCTCGGCGCACAAGAGTATCTCCACTTCCAGATGTTTGTAGTTCCAAAAATACTGTTTTCTATGTGATATGTCAGAAATGTGAAGATTTTGTACTTAGAATGAATGCAAGAAAACATTTGTTTGTGTCTTCATTTGTCTTCCCTTTGAAATCATGAATAAAATAGTAACTTTTAGACAGTTTATGTACCAACATGGTCACTCAAGTTCAGTGGCTTCTTTGAAACACAACACATTGAGAAGATAATAATTTAGACATATGTAGACAAAAGCCAGCATTGTGTTTAAGTAGATTTCAAGTAAAGTCAAAATCACCTAAATGGAAGCTCATTGAGAAAATAGGTGTATGGGTAAGTTGGGTATTTTTCAACTTGGACACTATTTTTGTGTCAAAGTGACAAATGGAGACAACAGTTTTTGAAAGTGGTTGAGTATACAGCCAAAGGGCTGCTGCCAGCAGCCAAAATACAGGCTGCAATTCAACCACTCGGGGACCCTTGTGCACCATCACTTTACCTCTAAAAGTGCTTGTTTTTGCCACTGACAGGCTCAGATTATCATTACAAGTGTCTAACAACATTATTGAGACACAGGCCTTGTTAAAGAGTAGGATCCTTTTTCTTAACCAGAAACAGCCCCAAAAATTGCAATTGACATTTCACTAAGCCCCGCCCCTTTGTGATGGTCTGACAAGCTGTCGGAGTAAGGATGGAGCCCACACTGTAACTAACTGCACTCCCTGAAGAAATATATTTTTGGAAAAATGAAGTAGTGATTCCAGAGAGAAGCAGACAGAGGGGTCTACAGTCTGTGTTTGAAGGATATATCCAGGATGTCAAACTGACTCAGCAGCAACAACAGGTTAAAAAGACAAAGATAGTTAGAAGCTAAAGCCGAACTATAGGCTACAGATTACAGTGTAAAAGTGAACCACCACATCACTGCTGATTGCCACAGAAGACAATGAATATAAAGGGAAACTTCGCTGATATTCAACCAGCTGTGTGGCATCACAGTGTGTGCAGATGAACGGTGTTTGGCTTCGCCCCTGTGCTGCTGCCAGCACCCAGACCTCAATCAAACCCTTAAAGTGTAGGGTTAGCTAGCTAGCTACTGAAGATATAGCTTACTGAATGTATACACATGCTGCTTTTGCTTTTTAAAGATTTTAACAGTGAAAAAACCGACCGACAGACCGACCCTGCTGTACAGGAACCAGTGAAGGAAAGCAGGGAAACTTTGCTGATATTCAACCAGCTGTGTGTCATCAGAGTGTGTGCAGATGATTGTTGTTTTTTCCCTGGAGATCCCTGCCCGTCTGGTGGTGGAGGTCTGGGTGCTGGCAGTGGTACAGTGGTGAACCCAAACACGGTTCATCCGCACACACTGTGATGCCACACAGCTGGCTCGATGTCAGCAAAGTTTCCCTTTATATTCATTGTCTTCTGTGGCGATCAGCAGTGATGTGGTGGTTCACTTTTACGCTGTGATCTGTAGCCTATAGTTCGGCTTTAGCTTCTAACTATCTTTGTCTTTTTAACCTGTTGTTGCTGCTGAGTCAGTTTGACATCCTGGATATATTCTTCTAACACAGACTGTAGACCCATTTTCAAAAACTGTTGCAGCCATTACTCACTTAGACACAAAAACATGGGAAAACAGGGCCGCGGCTAAAAAATACCTGAGTAACCCTTTAAGGGGTAACTTGAGTAGACTTTTCCAACCTGGACTGGTTGCAGTGCTGAATTCCATTAGATGGGTCATCAGGCTCAAAAGAAGAACAATAAGCAATAGAAAAACTACAAAACAGAACCATGTGCAGAGAGCTAGACTTATGAATAAACACAAATATTTGCCCGGAAAGCACTGCTCCCTGAGTCAGCTGCTGCTTTGTAAAATTACTGACTGAGCTGAGAGTAAAGTATTAACAGAGGTTAGCTCATCGGAGTGGCTAAAGGGTGACTGCAAATAGCCTGATATCAGTTAAAGATTCATAAAGGCAGATGTGGTTGTGTTAGGTTACAATTTCTCATCTTAGACATATACATTGAGATCTCATCTGCACTGTACAAACACCCTCATGTAAACATGATCTTTGTAAGGCAGCTGTAAACAACAAACCAAGAGTAGTAGATTATGTAACTGGTTCATCTGCAGATTTCTCATTAGAGCTCCTGGTTGAAGGAGACACTTCACACTGAGATGCAATGGAGCTCCTTAACTCTAATTCTTGTTATGAAGCTATAGAGCTAGACAAGTACAAAGACAGATCTTCCTCATTCCTCAAGAAAACGGCTGCCCCACGAGTAGAGAGAACTACAGACACAGTGGAGCAAAGCTCTCACGAGATGACGTCACACACAGCCCAGAGGTAAGGGAAAAGTTTACTATGTTATTTACAGAGATAACACTGGCGATCTGAACCGGTCAGTGGCGAAAAAAAGCACTTTTAATGCGCAAACTTATACGGGACGCATTTGCCCCGTTACCATTTTAGCTTGTTTCGCGGATCCCAGCTGCATCCACCTCCCTCAATACTGCACCAATTTTAGAACGAGTTGTACCTATGAATCATACGCACATATACACATCGGGAAATAGGGCCCAGGTTGAAAAATACTTAAGTTATCCTTTAAGAAGTAGTAGAATTTTCTCAACACATAAAGGAACATTTCATCCTTTAGTTTAGCAGAAATGTTTGAATTCAAAGTCAATAAATTTGGAGATAGGTGGTTTTCAATGGACAGAAAGGGTATGGAAAATTGAAACCTGAAAAGTAAAGCTGTCAGACAAATGTAGTGGAGTAAAAGGCACAATATTCATCTTTGAGATTTGGTGGAGTAGAGGTATTAAGTTGCATAAAACAGAAATACTTAAGTAAAGTACCTCTGATTGGTACTTAAGTAGAATACTTGAGTAAATGCTCACCTGCATGAAATCCCTCCTCTCCATGTCTGCGTGATGACGGGCAGCATGTCTGTGGCACAGTGGGACAGAAGAGGAAAAAGTTGAGGGAGAGACTGCTAAACAAGCCCCGCCGCTGAGCACCAGATGTCCATGAGACAAGTTTAGTCAAAACAACTAAGTCATGCCAGGTGCTGCCATGGCAACATGAGAAATGACCACCTGTGTGATGCCCTTGATGGCAGCTTTCTGTTAATGAGGAGACAGGATTGAGGGGGAGGCGCGAACACGAGAAGGTGCAGGGACGCTTTAATCAGAGGAAGATTAAATAGATGATTTAGCATTATTCATACTCAAGCTGTTACCCTGCACTATCCCAGGTGGTTGCCGTCATTGTGAAAGTGATGCCGTTTCCTTTTTTCTGAGAGGGGAAGGTGATGATTCAAAGGTAAGAAACAAGACGAGTTGCCCTCAAACGGGTCATGTGACTGATGGAAAATCGATGTGTTACAGTCCTCCGACCAGTTAATGTCACCTTGACGCGGAGCAGGTGCTGCTGTTTCTTATTTTCTGACTCATAAACCACATCCAACTTGGTGCGTGCTGAGTGGGAGTTTTGTGAACCTTTACACCCCTTTTATTGGATATAAAGGTTTTATGGTCCAGCGTCTGTGTGGTGATGCATTAAGTCTTCACCCTCGATGTAGAGGTTAAAGCGGCGTCCAGAGCAGTGCTTGTGTCTGTAGCATAGGCAGCAACAATCTGGCAGTTAACTCGGTGAAGTATGTGAAGACGTGTCACTGAAAATGAGGCATCACTCACTGCTAAATCAAATGTCTTGAGGGAAAAATTCACCCTACATCAAATTCCTGTGTACCTGAACTTACCTTTAGGTCAGGCTTTCTTTTCGTGGATACTCTTTTTCCTCAACTTTGAATTATGAATTTCACTTTACACTTAAACTTCCTATTTCTCTGTCCATATGAAAGCAAGGACCTGACCTTCTCACAGCTCTAAATTAGCATTAAAAGGCACCATTCTCCAAAAATAGCTTGTGGAATATAATAAGTCTATCCATCAACCATATGATTAGGATGTACTGTTTACCACAGCACTTTTGGGGCACACAGATTTAAAAAAAAAAAAAAGACAAAAAGATGGCCTCATTAATTTCAGAGCATTAGGAGAGGGCTTAGAAATGCTGATCTATGGGAGCATTAAAGATCAGCATAGAGTATATGGATTACTGATTTCAATAGGAATGACTGATGACTGGAAAGTACCATAAAGTACAGTCAGAGTAATCAAGTCACTACAAAAGAATACAACTTCAACTTCATGCCAGAGGTTGACTCATCACTTATGTGGCTGATGCTGAATCACTCATTTTTAGCTCATTAAAGAACAGAAAAGCTTTGATGAGAGATAAGATGATGCAGCATTGCGGCTGGCGTACATGATCAAGGTGCTCAAAGACCTGAAGTGACGTTCAATGACGTTCGTAGTTCGCCAGTGGAAGAAAGAGTCGTATGGTTTCTCAAAGTACAGCAGCTGCTCTCAAGTGTAATACTGCCCGCTCTTAAACACACAAACGCACACACTCGTAAACAACATATCAGAGTTCAAACCACTTCCTGTTCACACCGACTGCGTGAATCCATCCAAATATGTGCCCTGGTTGCCAGGGGCCTGTCATCTGTCCACCTGCAGCTGTCCTCCGATTCTCTGACCAGGGCCAGGGGTGGCATTAGGCAGTAGGATACTTCAACAGTCTGTAAAACTGATTAACAGTTTCAGTTATCTAGTAAATGTCAAAGCAGTCCACATTCATTGTTGGTCCACTATAGGGAGATAGGTAAGAAGGGATATCTGCCTCAGTGTGATATCTGTTTGCTATGGTATGTTATTTGGGACACTGGCATAACATATGCCAGTTGATTTAGTTCATGTCTGACTTTCTAAACAGACTTTCAGCTTTGCTTGCCCACCATAGGGATCACCTGGTAAAGACTTAAAGTAGGTAAACATTCCTGTAATTTTAGTGACTAATATTACACAATCGGTTTTGCTTTTTACCATGACATATAGCATTACTACGAACAAAGATGCCTTGAAGAATAGACATACAGCATCAATATACATTTGGCATGGGCTAATACAGTATAAGGTGCTACACTGTCTTTATTATTCCAAAGTAACACTTGCCAAAATATACTCTAATGCTATTTGTGACAGTTGAAGGCAGCTTCCTGCTACTCTGAGACACACACTCTGGCTGGAAATCTATTTTCCAAACTCTATCCGATGTTTACAGGCGGGTATTAGAACCTGATCCTTCGACGGCCACATTGGACCTCTCAGAAGATAATAAGTCCTCTTAAAGAAGCTAATTACAAGATTGGAACTTATTTATGTTATTGCTAATAGTGTGACCCACAACCTACCAAATGCATGCAGTTATTGCTCAGGCTTATACAGTGTGGTTCTGCTGACAAATTTAAGAAACTGCATCATCCCTTTCTAGACTTTGAAATCTCCTTATATGTAGCTTGCAAACTTTCAGTCACTGTCATTATTTTTTGGACACATTGCACCCATGAATCATTTTATTTTGCTTTCCTAACCTCTTGAGACCTGAGTTTTTGTTTGATTTGCATTTTTAATTTGTCCTACCTACTTGGGATCATGGGACCCACTAAGTAAAAAACTCAACATTGTCAATGATACTTACATTGTTTTTACATGGATTAGTGTATTGTGCTCTTACTACCACTAGATGGCACAAAAAAATGTCCACGGATGAGGACAACAGATCTAAGTTTTGAGTTGTAATGGAGCCAGATCATGTACCGTCCCTGGTTTTATATAAGAAGAAGAAAAGATCGCCTGCTGCTAAGCTAATTTATACAGTGTAAAATGCCATAAGCTCGTGCTAATAACGTTAGCATGTTGTATTTGTGAGGAAAACATGTCCAAATAAAGACAAATATTTGTTTGTGAATGCTGTGAGTTATAGTGAAGCCAATTTGTGTACTTGTGTTTTAAACTGTCTCTATTAAGCCATGTTTAAAGTATGTTTTGGGTGTATTTGGAATTAACTAAACTTTACAGCACTTCACAGAAACCATGCTGCTAACCAGTGTTTTGGTGGTGTAACTGCAGAGTGACACAGACACACCACTGCACAAGTATAAAGGCTCACAATGGTGTAGGGTCTGCTGCACAGCACAGGTATAAATCCCGCTTAAGGATCAAGTAAACCTAAAATGTGATGTCCTCATATGAGAACTGAAGGTCCAGGAGGTTAAGCAGCTCAACATTTTAACACGCAAGTTAGGCTACTTTAATAATACTTAGCGCTTGAACATGCGTTGACACTGTTCTTTATATTGTGATCTTTTACATATCCCATGATCGAGTTGAAGCTGTTCAACTCGCTCATTCTGAGATAGTTACAGTGTACATATTATAGTATTTTTATAGTAACTTTTTCTTATTTTTATTGTGGGCTGATGTTTTAATTATATAGCCTATTTATGTTTTTTACTTGTAGTATGTAGTACTAGTATGTGCAGTACTTTGCCTTTATTTTTATTTCCTCTTAATATGTTCATTAAATGCACCAAACCCCAAAACAAATTCTTTGTAGCCCAGCTAAGTGATAACCCACTTAGCAGTAAACCTTTGTCTAATTTTATTTATTGTACATCTACCCAAATCATTCACACATGTTGTAGTCTCTCCAGTCAGTTCAAGTAAACCAGTAATGCAGATGATTTTGGAAAGTACAGTCACTTCAAACATACCAATGAAACAGAAGAGTCAGCTAACTGGGAGTTTTGACTGTTTCTGTATCTGTTTCCTGCCGCGTCAGGTCGACTACATTCAACTTGTGTTCACTTTCTGTCGGTTTTATTTTCCCAATGTGACGAAATATCCTCTAAACGAGGCAGAAAACTGAAGCAGAAGTAGTCTAACTAACCGACACGTGGACATACCTGCACTTCTTTTGAAAAGTGCCACTTCCGAAGTGTATGTGTCAAACTGAGAAGTGATACAGGCGGGTTTTTGGTGGTAATTACCTGGCTGGGACAACTTCCTGTTTGCTGACTCGTCGTCATCATCGCGTCATCATGAGCAGACAGCACAGGTCAGTTCTTAGAAATGTGTGTCCAGTAACAGGTTGTAACAACGTTAGCTGACAAACGTGTATGGGCATGATTTCAGTTGTCAGGTAAGGTAAAGCTAACAGTTTTTTCCATCATGCTGGACATTGTTATTCATCACAAATTTGTCAGCTAACGTTGTAACCTGTTACTAACCTAACATTGAGCGATAGGCCTACACTAGAAGGATGCAGTCGAAAACATAGCTAGATTATCATACCCTGTGTGTAACTAATTACGTGCCTTACCCTTATTGATCCTGTAGCTGAAACTGTCTAGGAGCAGGAGCACGGATGCAAAATACATCCATGAGCAGGAGTCACCATGGATGCAGGGGTCACTTGCAGTTGCCAGGTGGGAGCTTCTCGCGAGATTTTGAAGGATCTCGTCTCCTCGTTCAGGAAAAAAAAATACCACGAAAAACAGAAAAAAATACTCAGAAAAACAGAAAAAATTACACCAAAAAACAGAAAAATAATTACTCAGAACAATAGAAAAAATGACACCAAAAAAACTGAAAAATAAATAAATTACTCAGAAAAATAGAAAAAATGACACAAAAAAACAGAAAAATAAATACATTACTCAGAAAAACAGAAAAAATTACACCAAAAAACAGAAAAATAAATAAATTACTCAGAAAAACAGAAAAAATTACTCAGAAAAACAGGGCTTTTTTTATTTGTCAAGTGAATGCAATACGCTTCCGTAGTTCCCAACTGGTGGGTCCCGGCCCAAAAGTGGTTTGGTTTGTCTCAATGGACAGCAAGTGAATCACGAATGTGTCAAATTTTGTAAATAACATTGAAGTGCATTGAACTTCTGGCGCGGAGTTTATATTTTGAAGTGCCCTCTCCTGCTGTAGAGTGAGTCAATAATGGACAGCTACTTGACAGATAGTAAACTAGCT